ACCGTTGTTTACTTAATACTCCCTTTGAAAAAAATTGTTTTAAATATCTTATTTGAGCATGTGGGAAGTTAGGGGGATGAATCATGATGGTTCCTTCTTCCTGAGAGTAAAACTTCTATTCTTTCTCTTGTTGTTCTAGGTGTTTAGAGGCTCATGGACAAAACTAAGCCTAAATTATGGTAGCTAAGTGGAATAACCAGTTTGGCCCCTAATTTTATATGTATATTTTATTAATTTTGTTATTATATATTTTATTGTAAACCATCATATCCTTTTTGAATAAGATGTGGTGTAAGCTTAAAAAATGAAACATCCCAGTCCTAGAGTTGAATCCTCAACTTGGTATGACATCAAGTTACATAGGCTTATTCTGGATACAGGAGCTAGGAAAGGTTTTTCTGTAAAGGGCCTAATAATAAAAATTTTAGGTTTTAAAAGCCATACAGCCTCTGTTGCAATTAATCAACTCTGCCTTTGTAAAACAAATGCTGCCAAAGGCAATACAAAAACAGAGGAGAGTGGCTGTTTTCTAATAAAACTTTATTTACAAAATCAGGCAGTGGGCCAGATTTAGCCAGTGTACCATAGTTTGCCAGCCCTTGGCAAGAACATCTATATGGTCTTTTACTTTCTGTATTTCTTCAAAAAACATTCTATGTGAAACCCCCAAGTTATAAAAACAAGAGCAATTTTAAACAGCAAGACTGACTTTAATTCTGTAGCTTGATTGCAGGTTTGCATTTTGTTTTCCATGTGGATTATAATATACATAATTTGAAAGTATAATATGTATTCAGAAATTAACAGAAAATTGCCAAATATCCAGTACTCTTCAAGTATACGTAAATGATTCTGATTCAATGATAAAATCTACTCTAAGTCAGAGTCTCTTGACCACATACTACTTGGATTTTACCATTGGAGTAGGATAAAAACTTTCCTTTTTAGGCCACTATATGCTGAAGCATTGATTTACTAAACAGCACTTACATGATAGGAAACAGAATAATTGAATGGTGCTTCTATCTTTTCCTTTAGAGAATTATATGTTCTCACAAATGCAGGGGCATAAGATATATTTTTCCAAAGCAAGGGATGGGAGAACCGTAATAGTGCATGCTTTTACTCTGTTATGTTTTGTAGGCCTAAATCTGTAAAGACAATTGTCTTATACTGTTCTCAAAATCAGTTTAAAGATGAAATGCTGTTTGTAAATACCTATGCAGTTAGATCATAGGCAATGTAATAGCATAATAGCAAGCAGACTGTTGCATTGTTTTATTCCCAAAATTAACTCTAAAAATTGTTACTCTTTGAACCAATAATATGTCCCTCAGAACAGTGATCCCCGAATTGGGCTACACATAAGAATTACTTGTGGCTGTTTTTAACGTGTAAACTCCTGGGCCCCTTTCTCTGGCTTCTGCATGAGATAAAACACTCACTGGACTTTACTTTTTCTCCTTCTAGAACTCTGACAAGGTTGGACCAAGTGATTCAGTCCCCACCACATACTATTCTGAAGTTAAGAACATTAATGCCTTTAACAGATAAGAGAACTAGGGCTCAGAGAACTTAACTTGCTTAAGTCATATGTTCATAGGCTTAAAATCTTTCCCAATAGAGACATCAATTTCTCTTATGTCATTAAAAAGGAATTAACCAGTCAGTGGGGTAACATAACACCCATATTCTAATGTCGGACTCAAAATTGCCTACTTTTTCCTTTTCAGTAAGTGTCTAGTATACAAGTCATAGGAAAACTAAATCGAATACAAAACTCAAAGGTTACTCTACTAGTAAATATTATATTTAATAGTGGAGTATTACCTATCTGGCCTATGACCATTTTAGTTTTGCTGATTTTTATCCTTTTATGTTCCTCAAAAGTTTAAAAAAGAATGGCTCCAAGCTGGAAAGGGGTCACTTGTGCTTCAAAGGATGGTACAAAGCGAGTGACTTTAATTCTGTAGCTTGATTACTGGTTTGCATTTTGGTTTTTTTTGTGTAGATTATAATATACATAATTTGAAAGTGCAGTATATATTCAGAAATTGACAGAAAATTGCTAAATATGTACTACTCCTCAAGTATACATAAATAATTCGGATCCAATGATAAAATCTACTCCAAGTAGATTTTAGAGGTGAATGGGGTGGATCAGGAAAGGACAGGAAAGCAGGTGAAATAGGCAAAATAGAGAAAATACCTTCTATAGGTATTGCCCTAGGATGAAAAATACATTTTATCAAAGTGTCAAATCTGCACCTGGGTACTCAGTACCATTTGTGAGAGTATCTGTTTTGTTTTTAATGTAATATTTTCAAATTGCAGGTTAAAAAGCAGAAAATGCAGTGGTAAAAGGAAGTGGAGTAGGGCTCTGGATTATTCTGAATTGTTTCCTCTTTCCACAGGCTGCTCAACTTGGAGAGGTTTCATTTAAACATTCCCACTATAGTTTCATATTCTCTGTTGATATACACATGGTAAAAATAACCATGAGGTGAATATGTGAAACTAAAGCAAAACAAATTCTGCAAGAATCACATCTCTAGGAAATACTGTTTTGTAGCAAGTACCTCAGTTCAAACATAATTTATAGATTAAATTTGTGGCACGGAAAATAGGCTGCAATAAAAATGTTTTCTTTCTATACAATAAATCATCAAGAAAATGTTAGATTGTAGTCACGACTCTTTAAAAAAAAAAATTCAGGTATTTGATGCATATTGTTCTCACAGTAAAAACTACAAAATCAAATAAAAAAAATAAAAATCAATGTTCCATACTCATGAAATTGGGAAATTGCTACCCTTTCTTGAGACTTATCCAGTAAAAATATCTTATTATACACAGTAAAAGAATGCCAAGACAGAGGTAGGATCTAGATGTTTTAAAAGCTGTGGGAATGTGGGAAAAGTAAACCAAATCAGCATTTACACTGACAAATTCTAGGGACACTATATAGTTATCTTGTGCCACTGGGCCCAGCAGTTCCTTTGGCTGCCAGATTCTGTTGCCTTCAGGCTGTTTTTGCACTTCCTTGATATTTGGAAGCTGCAGAGTAAGTCTCCTTTCTCTGGTAAAACTGGCCCAAGAACATCAAGGGAAAGAGGAGCTATAACCCATCTGCTTTGCAGCTGGAGAAAATTGAAAACTAAAATTGAATTGAAGTTGAAATGTACAGATAATCCATGTTGTACCCATAGAAAGTCAGTAGCAGCACCAAGAAGTCAGGGAATTTTAGGAATTTTCGAAAATAGTAGCATGTTATCAGGGCCACTCTGCACGACTCCAGGAGCATGGGTCCCATGGCAGTGTGCAGTAGTTATACAATCACCCCTTTTAGGGATGGGATGAAATATTTTGTGGAATGAAAGAAAGATTAAACATTTTATATTTTTTTCTTTATACCAATAGCTATTCTGATAAATAGGTTTTTAAATATCACTTATGGGTATTCCAGAACTTTAGATTGGTCTTACAGAATGGAGCCAACATCAGTGAAAATATAAGGTTTGCAAAGTTTCTTTTCAGCTTTCCTTAATATTCCAGAGCTTTCTTATTTTGTTTTCTTTTCCTCATTTGCTTCCAGAAGCTCAGTGCTTTAGATTTCCACACTACTCCTAGAAGGCAGTGATGACTAAATGGAGTAAACAAAAGCCTGTGTCCCCATGACCCAGGCTCTGCATATTTTAAGACCTTCTTTCTTCTCATCAAAGCAGATCTTCTGGATTCTACTTCCTCAGAGTTTCTTCTAAGTAGCTCACAATTTCACTGCCAATGTGTTAAAGGATGGTCACGGCTAAACAGTCCCCAACCTTCTCAGCAATATCTTCCCAACTTGCTTTCAGCACAAACCAGCAAGGGGGCATCTAACTGGAGGAGTGCTGTGCTGATGGCAAGATTGTTGTGAAAACTACTGTGATACCAGGATCTGACTATTCTCCCCCAAAGGAAACAATGGCTGAGATAAACAGTTAATTCAAAGTGCTTAACCTCCTCCCCTTTTAATAAATAGGAAAATAGATATATTGTACAATCATAAAGAGAAAAATCTGATTTGCTTATTCTGAATGAGGGTTCTGCATCATTGAGCTCTCATAATGATAGATAAGTGCAGGGTTATGGACCAAAGGAGAGATTGAAGTATCAAAGAGGTAAAAAGCCAGAGCAGAGAAAGTGAGAGTTGAAACACAGGTATCATCATCTGTCCATCCCTCACACCAGATGTAAGATGCAAGGTATACCACTTCAGCTGGTAAAGCCTCAGTTTCCTTTTCTGCAATCTGGGTTTGAAGTTGGAATTTATATTTCTTCATCTCAGGATGCTTGGCAGCTATAGTGTAGGTTAAATGTGATCATGAGTACAGAGGATGGCATGGAATCTGCCACAGTTACTTGCTCAAGAAATGGTAGGTCTTATTGTTATTGCCCTTTTGAGTCTCATTATTTACTCAACTTTCTTTGCAAAAAAACTTGTTTAAAAACTTATCTCTTATTATTCTCTCCAAATGACAGAAATAAATGTACTTGACAAGTAATGGTGCATATGATCAATATCCATACTTCTTTCCTATTTAGAGCCAATCTGTGAATCACATTTAAGCTGGCTTCTGGAAACAATTTCCAGCACATTCTACTTGCAGTCAGATGAAGCTGCAATTTTCTTAAAATATGAAGCAGTTTGGGTGCTGGGCAGAACATGTATTCAGTCTCATAAACATAAACATTTTTTATGTGGCATTTAAACATGAACTATGCGACTCCAAAATGCTACAAAAATATAAACAAAAAAATTTCAGGAATAAAGAGATACAGTTAAAGAAAAATAGAGAGGAAGTAAAAAAAAGAGATAAGTTTTCTATGATGTGAGAAAGTTGGTCAAGGATAAGCATTTGGTTTTATAATTTTTTTTAGAGGGAGATAGTAGCACATTCTAGAAATTGTTTAACATTATATGTCAAGTGACTTTGGCAGTTACTTCTTACTATTCTGACCTTGTTCTAGTAGCGCCAGTCCAAGGCCAGCATTGTGCCTTTCTTCAGCGATCACAACGGTATAGCCATGTTGAGTCAGAATGCGCTGGTGTAGCCGAAGCTCTGTTTTGCTGTAGAAAGGAGGCCTGTAGAGTATGGCCCTTCGGCCATGGCTGCCAAAGTGTGTCTCCATTGATTCTTCGACCTAAGAAAAGAAGGCATAAAATTTCAATATAAAAAAGTAGTACATTTCCCTTGAAGGACATCACGAATGCAAATCAAGGACTATTTGGGAAGTTTTTCTTAAGTTTTTCTCTAGAAGTGAAAGACAATTTCTCTGAAAGACTGACAAGGACAAAGATGACCTCATATGCAAGAACTGAAGGCCAGCTGAATTGTCCTCACTGTAACAGAAAGACGAAAATTTTAGGCTATAAAATATAGAGGTTCTTGGAGGAATACTGATGCATAGAAATATAGAGCTCAACTCTAGCTGAAAATACAAATTAATAGCAGTGCCTTTCATCTGCGCTGTGCTTTTATAAAGTAGTTCTAGCTGCATTATCTTTTAATAGCTCTTTTAGGTAAACACGGTCGAGGAAACACTCAGAGAGGATGGGTTTTGTACGGAAAGGACATGGTCAGGAAGGGGTCGAGGTGAGAAGCAGTCCAGAGCTCTTTGTAGATAAACAATGCTGCAGTTTCTCTCAATTAGGTTGTAGCAAAACTGGAACGCATCTCAGTGAGACAGAATGGGTCTTCACATGTGAGGAGAGGAGAACTACTGAAGTATCATAATTCCAGGTTATTATCTCAATAGTTTATTGCTCTTTCATATAAATATTCCTCTTTCTCAAAATAGAAATTGCAATTCTACTAACAAAGGAGATTTTTGAATTGACAAGGAAAAAGAAGGCTGAAATTTAAATTCATTATAAGGCTTAATGGCAGATACTGGGGTTTTTCTGAAAACTTGAGATTAAACCTCGATAAAGTACAGATGATTTTTATTACTAGAAGGAGTGATGAGATTGCATGAAGATCAGCAAAAACCAGGAGAGAGGTTGAACAAGAGGAGCCAAAGGAGGTAGTGGAGAAGATGAGGGGGACTTGGTAAAAACACAGCTGGGAATCTAAATTATTTGCAATGACAGCTCTGAGTCAACCTGTCCATTTTATTAACCTAAAACATGATCTTTTTCATATTGTGAATGCCATGTTATTCAGCACTTAAATGTCTTCATTATTTCCCATACTGATAGAATCAATCAATTCTACATCTTTTATTTTTTCTTTTATTGTTTTTATTTTTCATTTTTCATTTTTTTTGAGACAGAGTCTCGCTCTGTTGCCCAGGTTGGAGTTCCGTGGCACAATCTCGGCTCACTGCAAGCTCCTCCTCCAGGGTTCATGCCATTCTCCTGCCTCAGCCTCCAGAGTAGTTGGGACTACAGGAGCCTGCCACCACGCCCAGCTAATTTTTGTATTTTTAGTAGAGATGGGGTTTCACCTTGTTAGCCAGGATGGTCTCGATCTCCTGACCTCGTGATCCGCCCACCTTGGCCTCCCAAAGTGCTGGGATTACAGGCGTGAGCCACCGCACTCGGCCCAATTCTACATCTTTATCAAGAAACACAAGATCATTTAAACTTATACCCTGCCTTCCTACTCTGGTCAGATCACATCACACTCTTAATCATCTTTATTCCTGACCCACAACCTGCTCTTTTGCACATCACTGTTCCTTCCACCTACAATTCCTTCCTCTTTTCGTTATTTCGCTTATCAAATTCCAAATCAACTCTCAATAGTCAAACATTATCTCTTATGGAAATGTTTAATTGAAATGCATACTTTCATGAGCACTTATGAAAGGAAATTACATTTTTCTCATATCAGCCCCTTAACAGCCCGGCCTGCATTGTTCATGTCTCTCAAATGTCTATCCCAAGACATGATATATGGTACATGCTTAATAAATGAAGATATTTAGTAAATTAATGAATCATAGCAGTTATCAAAATATTTGAAGATGCATATTGAAAGAAAGAAGAAACAGAGTTAGATTGTAAATCCTTTGAGGTCAGGAACCATATGCTATTTTTTTATTGCTTACAAACTATTGCTAGCTGAAAATTCATAGATAAAGCATAGAGTAGTTCAGGAGGACACAAACTCTGGATCTAAACTGCTGGATTCGAATCACCTGGCTGCACCAGCATTATCTATGTGACTTCAGACAATACCTTCTTCCTAAGGTGCTATGAGGATTAGACAGTTAACACTTGTAAAGTGCTCAGAACCATGCTTGCTATGTAGGAGGTACTATGAGGTATTTTTTTAAATAATAACATATCAAAAAGAACAATGAGTCTGGAAAAACTGCTTCTGAGTTTGCGCTCTGCCTGGCACACGTTAACATAGTTGCTTACTATGTGTGTGATAAGTATAATGAATATAATGAAAAGGAATAGAACTCTGGCTAATCGTACCTTCTGTACGTGCTACTTTGGGAGAACGAGATTGATTAGATATTTTCCTTTGTTAAAAGACACTGCGTTTTATTGATGAGAAAACCATTTAAATGCAACAATTTAAGTGAAAATTGGGACCCAATTCTCCCCAAATGTTATAATTGTTGGCAATAATAAATGTATAAGGAGTGTTTGAAATCAAATACACATTTAGCCTTTGGACACAGGGGTTAGAGGGAACTGAGTAGCCTGTAGAAAGCCAAAGTAAACAAACAAGTGTCTAGGTGCAAGGGGAAGACAGATGCTTCCCAGTATATCAGTGTCACTCAAGCAGACCCGCTGTATCCAGAATTCCCATGTCGCATTTTCTTTTGTAATCACAGGATGCTCCTCTCTATTACAGCTGGCTCAAATACAAAAGGGATCTCACACAAGGAAGATATATTTTAAAACTTTGAGTAGTTTTCATTTTGAAAGATACCATCCTCTTTTTCCCCCAGTAAAGATCAATTTAAGCAAGAACAATGTAACTTTTACTAATATACCCTGTAGAGGGTATATTACATCTAAATAAAGTACAATTATTGGCCATATTTGGTAATAACCTTCATAGCATAGACTGAAATTTTAACCCACATCTCAGACTATAGGGAATAAATAGGAAATGAGCTTGTCAGTAGCATTATGTTGTATTATCCTGTAATACAAACTGCTGCTGTCCTTGTCATATTTATAACACACTGTATCAGCAGAATGGCTCAATACCAAAGGGCAAGAACAGTTTCAGCCGGTCTGACAACAGGTGCACACATTGCGTATGTGAAATTAAAACGATGTGAACAATTATGTCAACCACACTAGCAAGTGCGAGGTCATCAAACGCTAATAGCAGCACTTTCAGAAATAAGAGGTCCTGATTATTCTCACAATTCCAAAGGTATATTTTTAATGGAAGAATACGTTTAACCTGGCCACTGCTACAACAACTTCACTTGAAACAACCCTGCTGGCCCAGAATTTAGAAAAGAATGAGTGTTACTGAATGTTGATTCTGAGTGTTCACTTGCGTCTCTCTCATCTTGAGAGAGCTGCAAAATATTTCCTTAGAAATCCCTTTGTTAGACGACATAAAAGTTATTTTATAACTGGACACTTTTTATTTTTACTGAAAGGATGTCCAAAATCTGAAAACTTTGTGCCATCTGAGATAAAGCAAAGGACAGAATGTTGTCATAAAGTACTGGGAGCATTGGATGCAGCAATGTAGAGTAAAAAGAGAAGATTGGGAATCAAAAATCTGGATTTGAATTCTGGCTCCATCACTTCCTTGCTTCATCTACTGAGCTAAATTATTTAATCTACCCACATCAGAGTTTTCTCACATGTGTAAATGAAGTAACAAATCCTACTGTATGAGGGAATTAAATGAATTTTCAATATGAAAGTGTCCAACATGGTGTCTCACCAATAAATTATGTTAAAGATATGTAAATAAAACTGAATAATAATCTATATTATAGTATAATTTTATATTCAAAATTCCATAAGCTTTTCAATTAATATGGTTTGATCTCTGTCATAACAGGCATTTTTGCAATAATATGTATGATTTCATATACCTGATATACATTTTCCTCTATAGGAGTCATTATGTTTTAATGCATAAATATAATTTGTTTACTTATTACATTTATTTGATTTTTTCTTCCTGGGCCTCCCGTATCTTAGAAACTTATTATGTTTATTTTCTCTCTCTTCATACCAGGATGGAAGCTAAATGAAAGCATATGTTTTTGTCTGTTTTGTTCAATTTTGCTTTCCCAGCCTAAAAACAGTACTTGGCATATAAGAGACACATAACAATATTCTTTGAATGAGTGAATACAAACATCTTTTCCTTCAATATGTAGAAGTCTTTGTTGTAAATAAAGCCATGGAAGACTGGGAATAGAAAGTGGTTAAGACTTGTATTCACAAATTTATTTCAATAGAACTGTAAATACTAGCAAGAATGACAAATATAGAGTTAAATATTTAAGCAAAATAATGAATTTACAGTAAAAAAATTAATAAAGAGCTACATTATAAAAGTACTGCATTTCTCAGTTACTTACACTGTTAAAAAATCTTTACCAAGACTCACCATGAAACCAAGAAATATAGCTCTTCAAAATATAGTAAGGCTGAAAAATAAAGCTTGTTTTTTTTTCACATAGCAGAAAGATTTTTTTCTGGATTTATTAAAGTAGCCATGTATTTATGACATCTTTTGATGCTCAAATACAAATCATCTAGTAGACTTTGAATGTGTGTCATATATGACTAAAAGTTAAATCGCCTTCCTGGTCCAGACTTTGGCATTTTAGAAATATTATAGAGTCTATCATAGTGAATTATGTTTTCATTTTTCCACTGTAAGAATAAAATACAGATTCTCTTCCCCACTGGTGAAATGTACACTTATTTTAGGGAATGTAAGAAGTAAATGGAAGGAATTTTCTGGGATCTATATCATATACATTTTCTATTTTAAAAATATCTTATAATTGCAGGACACAGGTTTCTGGATATGCAAGCTGAGGCTTGAAAGGATGTCCCTCTCTAAACGAAGCTTTAGTGTACTTCTGTCTGCATCTTACAGCTGATTTAACTGAATCTCAAGCTGATTATGGGAGGGCTACACATTTCTCAGATTTCTCAGAGCTACTCCATGTCACAGAGCACCTTCTGA